GTGGGGCCTCCCAGGAGCCTCTCCTTGGGGTCGGCCGTGGGTGCTCGGCCTCGCGCCGTCGCCGTGGGAGCACGAGGAACGCCAGGTGCAGTGACAGCGTACGAGGACGGGCGGCAAGGACGCAAAAGACCTTTGGAGGCCGAAGCTGGGCTGTTCGTGGCGGCGGGCGACCAGCACCCCTCCTCCTCCTCCTCCTCCTCCTCCTGCCTCCTCCTCCTTCTCTCCTCCTCCTCTCCTCCTCCTCCTCCTCCTCCTCCTCCTCCTCCTCCTCCTCCTCCTCCTCCTCCTCCTCCTCCTCCTCCTCCTCCTCCTCCCATCTCCCTTCGGCCCCCCGCCCAGGACACAGAGGGCCGCAGAGGCATGGACACAAGGGCACCCTGGAACAGGCGCGCGCCCTCACTATGCGCGTTGACTGTGGACAACGTTTTGTCTGGGTAGATCGATGCGATGTTCCTCCACCTGGCGCGGACAGTAACTTGCACCGCTGTGCTATAAGCGTTTAGTTCCCCCCCCTCCCCCCGATCTTAAGATCGGGTCCAGTCCGGGCTGGTCGAAGCAGCTCGGTGGTGCAACATTTTGTCGGGAGCCTCTGGGCGGCCCAAAGGCTCTTCGCCGTGCACCCCAAATTAAGATCGGGGGCAATGGGGGGGAACGAGCACCTTGCCGTCGCTCGGACGTCCATTTCCCGTTCATTTTTCGGTATCGTGCGTGTTTTTGTTTTGCTCGATGGTCCAGAATGGTCCTCGATGGCTCTCGCCGAGAAAAAATGCACACGTCCGAGCGATGCCACGGCACTGCAGTGTAGGTGCCAGTGTGCAGCAGCACTGGTGTAACATGTTGTCGATGTGCACTACGCCACGGCGAGCCTTGGCCACGAGCAGGGCCTCCGACCTGGATCTGCGGAGCGATCCGAACACCGGGGCCCCCCTCCTGGGCCCAAAATGGTCCTCGTGTCAGCGTCTTGGCTGCACAGGGCAGTTTTTAATACATAGGATTTTTAAACATATAGGCTTTGTAATCCATGATTATTTTATGAATACATGTATGCATGAACTCCTCGTTTTGTTAAATACTAGATCCCTGCATGTTTAATACATCATCCGCACGCGGAGCATGTATCAACAACGGCACTGTATGGCCTCCTGTGGTCTGGTCCCCAATGGCTGCCCTGAAAGCCCCCCGCACCACGTGCCCTGTCTCCATGGTCTGGCCGTAGGTGATTCGCCTCCTGTGGGCTCCTGTGATCCGGCCTCCCATGCCTTCCCTACCGCTTCCCTGTGGCTTCCTGCTCCACTGGCCCTGCTCCCCGTCCGTGTTGTCCGGTGGCCGCTTAGCCTCCCATGGCTTGGCTTGTTCGGGCCCCACGCGCTAACACAACTTACTGTGCTGGATCCTAAAGGAAAACTAGCTCAGCTCTTCCGCTAGCCCCCTGCGCTGCATGCAGTGCTGTGACAGCTGTAAGCTGCAAGAGGCCGTTCGTAAAGGCGCCTCGTTGCGACGTCCAACAGGGAGCAGGAAGTCAGGATTCTGCTGGATGTGCTCCCTCACCCTGTCCCAGTAATTCGACAATCGAAAGAAATAGTTCTCCTGGTCGGCAACAGGCTGGTTGAATGCAAGCAGGACACGGGGCGGCTGGGGTAGTCGGAGGAGCTGGGAAGGATAAAGCTGAGAGAGTTGAAGAATCAGTGAGAGAGCAGGCGCACGAGGCAAAATGCACAACAAAGCAAGTAAGAGGAGATGTGCGCGCTACGTGATGTCGCAGGTTGTGAAGGCTCCAGCATACTGGGAGCAGCAGGGGAGAGGCATACTCATGAGCAGTAGTAGCCGTAATAGTAGCAGAAGTAGTAGCAATACTAGTGGTAGTAGTATTGGTAGTAGTAGTAGTAGTAGTAGTAGTAGTAGCAGTAGTAGTAGTAGTAGTAGTAGTAGTAGTAGTGGTAGTAGTAGTAGTAGTAGTAGTGGTAGTAGTGGTGGTAGTAGTAGTAGTCGTAGTAGTAATAGTGGTAGTAGTCGTAGTAGTAGTAGTAGTAGTAGTAGTAGTAGTAGTAGTAGTAGTAGTAGTAGTAGTAGTAGTAGTAGTAGTAGTAGTAGTAGTAGTAGTCGTAGTAGTCGTAGTAGTAGTAGGTAGTAGTAGTAGTAGTAGTAGTAGTAGTAGTAGTAGTGGTAGTAGTAGTAGTAGCAGTAGTAGTAGTAGTATTAGTCGTCGTCGT